AAAAAAAGAATTATCATATCTTTTAAAATAAATTCATAAAAAAATAATAAGACTAATAAAAAAAATAGTTTTGTAATACCCCAAAATTTTGTGGTATTTTAGCATTAAGTGAGGACTTTTGTGAGAGGAAATATGGTTTTGGGACTTAATAGCCAAAGATTTCAAAGTTCAGGGACTTATAGGAGGAAAATCTAGAAGGGTCGGCTACTTTTCTTTTTCTTCTTTCTTCTTCTCTATCCATTTCGTGTTTCTGCTCATTTGTTTCTCCCCTGCAGCCCGAAAATTCCCAGCCACCGCCACCCTTCCATTTCTTGAAAAAAATTGGAAGAAGGCTTGAAATTTCTCCTCCTTTCTTGTTAAATAACCAGATTTAAGCTTGGAAATCCCCTCCCCTCCGCAGAATTTCCAGATCTGCTCTGCTCCTCCTCCTCACCGCCGGCTGCTCCTGCTTTGTGGGGGCAAATTGCTCGGGTTTTTTGGTAAGAAATAGCCAAGGATTCGTCCTTCTAGCCTTGATTCAAGTTGGGTTGTTCTAATTTCTTGTTATTTCCCTCAATTTTGAGGTAGGCCGTGAGCTTCTTCTCCAAATTCCCGCCGGCAACTTTCCCAACTGCAGCTCCGGTTTTAGCTGGAGAATTATGGTATGTGGCAGCCTTTTAAGCCTAAAATTATCCATTTGGTTTGCTGCCTTGTGATGTCCGAAAGTTTGCAGTAATTAGAGGATGAATTTCGGTAGTTTTAGGACATAATTAAGCATTAATTCAAGTGGGATTTATGTGATTGAGTGTTAATTGACTGCTGTGATTTTTGGAGAGAAAATCCCGTGAAATTAGCTAGTGTTTGGGCCGATTTTGGAAGTGCAGTTACTGTTTAAGGCACTGTTTACGGTACTGTTTATGGTACTGTTGACGCCCTGATGGCCAACAATTAACGGGGATTTAAATGATTAGTTTGTGATATAAGAACGAATTTGGAGATATCTGATAATGTGGAGATTTATAGAAATAGCATCGTGATTAAGGGTAGTCTTAATGATGATTTCAGTGTGAATTTGTGATAGTACAGTATTAATTCTCGGATATTTGATTAGGTTCTTAATCCTTGGGGTACTTTAGTACGTAAATTGAGTGCTCGGTTTTATGTAATTTAAGGTAAGTAAATTTATGGTAATGGCTGTACAATTTTTAAAAATGGCAGTACAATTTTTAAAAGTATGTTTTGATTTGTTTTTGAAGTGGTGGCGGGACTAAACCCGTTTTACACAAGTATGATCGATTGAAATGAAATTTTTACGCTTTTCATTAAATTGAGCATGCCTACTTGAGATTTAATTGATTGTCCTGATTATTTGAAAATGATTGGTGAATTATGACTTTTCTGTTAACTTCAGCCTGTTTTGTCTTCGATGTGGTCATGTTATTAGTGACCCTGTTAGTGGGGATTATACACTAGCAAATGTTGACATGTTAGTGATAGAGCCGGTTCGTTCGAGTGACCCTGTTAGTGGGGATTATACACTAGTAAATAGTGACCCTGCTAGTGGGGATTATACACTAGTAAATAGTGCGCCTGCCAGTGGGTGGTTTATAACACTGGCCGTGACCTATAAAGGAGACGTTTATTTCGTTCCCGTACTGTATCCATTTTTCGTGATTGCACTTATTGGCATGCTATAAGTTTAATAAGGGTACTCCATATTTTACTTACTGAGTTTATCTCCTAGTTTTTCCTTGTCCTCGGTTTCGCGTCCACCATTTCAGGAAGCGAAACCGAGGACGGGGAAACCACGGGAAGTGACGAGTTAGAAGGCTAGCCATTTCGAGATTGATATAGATTTTAGAAATAAATCATGCTTTTGTAAGCTAGATTTTACCTTGAGATTTTGAGCTTAAGTGTTGGACATAGAATTAATTTGAAATATATTATTTAAGTTATTGGATTGTCAGATGTGAATTGGATAAGTTCCAAGCCTTGTGCATTTGTGCGACCCTCTAACGAATGCACGGCATCTGCCATGTTCTCGGATTTGGGTTCTGGGGCGTGACAAATTTATACAATAATATACATATTTTGGACTAAGATGAAAAAATATATAAAAAATAAAATGATAATATTATATTTAGATATAATATGAAATAAGAAACAAAAAAAAAATTGAAACTTACTATATTAATACAATGAAATTGAAGAGATGAATATAATATATTAGTGTAAAAAAAAGTGAGGGTTTATATATAGGTGAGTAGTAAAATGGAAGGACATTGTATATAAAAAAGAAGAAAACGAAAATGTTAGAAAAAATTGTAACCGCACAAATATTTATTATGTCATGTATTACAATCTTATGCATTTATTTTTCATAAATTTTAAATATCTATTCATCTTCTTTCATTTTAATGCACTATATTGCATTATATTATGTATATAATGAAACTAATAAT